CCCCGCCTGCCAGAGGCCCCTTGGCAATGTCTGAGGGACGCTGGGCCGCACGCCCTGCCTCGTCCTGCCCAGAGGGAGGTGGGCGCACAAGCAGAACCGTGCGCTTCCCTTCGCCTGTCAGTTGTGCCAGACACGTCCGCCTTTTCCAGGCGGAATTTGTTATCCAGGTGGAGCTTAAGACCAGAAGTCACTCGTTTGAGATGTCCGGATGTTTGGCAGTCTAGTTAAAGTTGTAATTTGCTGTTGGAGGTACTGTATATAGATCAGGTGCAATGCTTATGGATAATTCTTTACAGAAATAAAACAGCACTGTATCTATCCCATCCTAGAGGTGAGACTGTCATATAGAGGTTGTACTTCCTCAGTACGTGCTTGCTTATCTGGCAGGTTCGAGAGAGGCTGCCCTTTATATCCTTCCTAAGAATGGTGATGCTGTTATGCGCTACTCTTCTGTCTCAAAGAATAGTTAGAGAAAATCTGTTTCAGATGAACTAGAAATGATATCGTTGTGTGGGAAAATCACAGAGCAGCACCCTCCATCATCACAGAAATTACCGTGCAACAAGTGTTCAAGTACACTTTCTCCCCCCCCTTTTTTTTTCTTTTGTTATTCCACATCAAATTATGTGCTTCCCTTGAACGCCCTCCCAGGAGGGAGATAAGGATAGAAACAGATAAAGCAACTCTCTCTTTTTTTTTTTTTTTTGAGTATACATAGAGCAGTGTTTCTACAGTGACTCTAGCTGAGAGGTAGAGTCCTCAATACATACAATAACATAGTCACTTTCTCATTTGCAAAAAGGAGGAATCGGGAAGCTGGAGGTACGCACAAAACAACGCGTATATCCTAATCGCAAAATCACAGAATCATTTAGGTTGGAAGGGACCTCTGGAGATCATCTAGTCCAACCTCCCTGCTCAAGCAGGGTCACCTAGAGCATATTGCCCAGGATCACATCCAGACGGGTTTTGAATATCTCCAGGGAAGGAGACTCCACCACCTCTCTGGGCAACCTGTTCCAATGCTCTGTCACCCTCACAGTGAAGAAGTTTTTCCTCAGCTTCAGATGGAACTTCCTGTGGTTCAGTTTCTGCCCATTGCCTCTGGTCCTGTTGCTGGGCACC